TGTTACCTCTGCTGTCTAATGAGATCCGTGACTGAGATATATTTAGACAAAGCTAGCTCGAAAAAACTAATAATAAAGAGTACAAAAATAATAAGACCAAAGCTGGGAATGCTTCTGAGGGGCAAGGGATGGAGCACTATGACAGTTCCTTTATCGCTGTTCTATCAGGTGAAGTTACATTTGAGAAGTAGGGCCAGACCGAATCGAGTCGATGGTATAAAAATCATATATTTTTAAAAGTGGAAAAAAAAAAGCTTTAGAATTAAATCCATGCCTAAAAAGTCTACTTAGGAATGACATCTAGTGCTATAATATTCAAACCAATGAGACCAAATTGTATTGCATTTCGTAATGCTACCATTGAGATATAAAATACAGAAGTAGGTTAGTGCTAATAATAACAAGATGGATAGGCAGCGGCCTGACAGAGGGTAACCCTCTAACCCTCCATGGTAGGAGATAACAACAATAGAAATGAAAGGCTGTGCCAAAAGGAATAAATAAGTACTAAAAGACAAATAATAAAAAGTGTATATAAATACAGTTGAGTACTTAAGAGTTGTAAAATACTTAAGAGTTATAAAATAGTCCCAATATATATTGGTGGTTGAACAGTAGTGGAAAATGTCTTTGGCAATACTTTAGATGGTAGGGTCTCTTCTCTGTTTATAGTAATCCTGTTCGTCTCATGATATAGAAGACACAAGAAGAGAAGACCAATCGTGCAGAGTGTAAAAAGTTAATATTTGTGAATAAGAAGTATAAATATTACACTCACATTCAAATGAGCTATAGCCAGCTCAGGTGTAACAGGCATACAGTGGAACAATCCCCGCTTATGGGATATATGGATGCTTGTCCTCCGGAGGAGAATGGTGTCCAACTCTCAGGGAAAAGGGAATATAAAAACAACTGATAGGGCTTTCTGTTGACACAGCCTTTCATTTCTATTGTTGTTATCTCCTACCATTGACATATATAGCTTTTTCCATTAACCCTTGATGGTTGATTTGATATATGATTTCAGATATACTAGGGATTTCCTCATTGCTCCAATGCCTGGAGATACAGACCTTCGTTGCCATCAAAATATGGATTGCCAAATAGATTTCTGACCTAAGTATATAAGGCCGATATGAAACAGAAATGTTTCCGGGGGTTAACAATCTATGATCTTTAAGTTTAAATATTTGAAGAGTTGCAACAAAAAATCTTTAATTTTAACCACAGTGAGGGAAAAAAGTACTTGATCCCCTGCTGGTTTTGAACGTTTGATAACTGACAAAGAAATGATCAGTCTATAATTTTTAAGGTACGGTAGGTGTATTTTAACAGTGAGAAACAGAACAACAACAAAAATCCAGAAAAATGCATGTCATAAAAGTTATGAATTGATGCATGTCAATAAGTGAAATAGGTATTTGATCCCCTATCAATCAGCAAGATTTCTGGCTCCCAGGTGATTTTTATACAGGTAACGAGCTGATATTAGGAGCACTCTCTTAAAGGGAGTGCTCCTAATCACAGCTTGTTACCTGTATAAAAGACACCTGTCCAGCAGAAGCAACCAAATCAGATTCCAAACTCTTCACCATGGCCAAGACCACAGAGCTGTACAAGGATGTCAGGGACAAGATTGTAGACCTACACAACGCTGGAATGGGTTACAAGACCATCGCCAGGCAGCTTTGTCAGAAAGTGGCAACAGTTGGAGCGATTATTCGCAAATGGAAGAAACACAAAATATTTTTAAAAATTAAAAATGCGAATAAAAGATGATGATACAGAAAAGTAAAAGGACCAAAATCTGTTTATTAACAATTTAAAAAGCAGTATACAATATTGTATACTGCTTTTTAAATTGTTAATACACAGTAAATTGTATACTGCTTTTTAAATTGTTAATAAACTGATTTTGGTCCTTTTACTTTTTGTACCATCATCTTTTATTCACATTTTTAATTTTTACTACAACCTGGCATTTTAATTTTCTTCATTACTCCAAAGAATCCTAGGTGGGGATCACACCACCTATGCTGTGTCAGCCTGCTCTATATATTGTGAGTATATTTTATTATGTTTTATATACCAGTAATATTTCATTGAGAGCACTACTGCTGTTTTTATCTTCATTTTGGGCTCCTGATACCACCATCTTTAAAGAACACTCACCATATCCCAGAGGCGGGGATTGTATCGCTGTATGCCTACCACACTAGAGCTAGTTTAAGTTCTATCAAATGTGAGTGTTATTACTATATTTTATTATCTTTTATCTACTGTGGAACATCCTGCACCATTATTGTCTCCATTCTTATCATCTCCCCCCTGGATCTACGGTACTGCACCAAGAGGACACTCACTGCATATCCCATAAGCAGGGATTATATCGCTGCAAGCCATATACACCAGAGCTGGATTAAGCCCTATTGGATGTGAGTGGGAATTCTACCATTTTCGGTTGGAATGAACTGCAACATTATCTCCTCTCATCTCTTATCACCCTCTCCTATATACCTGACCATTAAAAGAAGTGGAACCCCACAGCCCCAGAGACCAGCAAAAGATCACAGTTCCTATCTTCTAGACTCTGTACATACAGGAATTTATCCAAGCTAGGACTTATATTTATTTACTTTTGTACTGTGGCGCAGCCCCATCCTTTTGTTTTTTGCTATCTCTCCAATTATTTTCAAGGACACGTGAGGGAGTCCTTGTTTGGGATTGCTGCCTTTTCCACTTAGAATCCGTTAGCGCTGACTCTCCTCACCACTTTTTCTGTTATCTTTTTCTGAGTGGCTTCTTTTTAAACTAACAGAAAATCACTTTATCTGCTATTTTTCTTTATAGAAGATGGAAGAATGGAAAAAGTAAAAACTTGTTCTGGAATGGTTTTCCTAACTGTGCTTTGGCAGGGAGCATATGAGAGTCACATGTTCTACATTGGTTTCTTTATTGTCTCACAGAAGAGTAATTATTCATGCTGCCAATGTCATTGTCACATTCACAATATTACACCATTTCTACCTCTACCTCTGTTTCTATATCTGTTTTTTATGTAAAGTAACACAGACAATAAAACTTACCATTTGTGCGTATATCCTTCAGCAACTGTGTCACTTCAAGCAATGCTGAGAACTGATGGGTTATTCACTACACACTGGATTTTGGAGTAAATTTAATATTGCTGGATAGGCAGCCGGATGGTTTTACCCCATTTGATAGGGCCATTGTGACTTAGTGAATATGTTTTTTGAAAGACATCTATATTTTTATTTTTGTTGAACTATGAAACCAGCTCTTTTACAATAAAAACAATAAGTAAGTCTTACTTATTAGTCTTACTCAATGGGAGTAGTCCCAGAAGATTGGAAGTTAGCGAATGTTGTGCCCATTTACAAGAAAGGTAATAGGGAGGAGTCGGGCAACTATAGGCCAGTAAGCCTTACTTCAGTAGTGGGGAAAGTGATGGAAACCATATTAAAGGATAGAGGGAAGTGCTCATGCCATTGTACAGAACACTGGTGAGACCTCACTTGGAATATTGTACACAATACTGGAGACCGTATCTTCAGAAGGATATTGATACCTTAGAGAGGGTTCAGAGAAGGGCTACTAAACTGGTTCATGGATTGCGGGATAAAACTTACCAGGAAAGGTTAAAGGATCTTAACATGTATAGCTTGGAGGAAAGACGAGACAGGGGGGATATGATAGAAACATTTAAATATATAAAGGGAATCAACACAGTAAAGGAGGAGACTATATTTAAAAGAAGAAAAACTACCACAACAAGAGGACATAGTCTTAAATTAGAGGGACAAAGGTTTAAAAATAATATCAGGAAGTATTACTTTACTGAGAGGGTAGTGGATGCATGGAATAGCCTTCCAGCTGAAGTGGTAGAGGTTAACACAGTAAAGGAGTTTAAGCATGCGTGGGATAGGCATAAGGCTATCCTAACTATAAGATAAGACTAGGGAGTAATGAAAGTATTTGGAAAATTGGGCAGACTAGATGGGCCGAATGGTTCTTATCTGCTGTCACATTCTATGTTTCTATGTTATTTTTGTTTCAGTAACACATTTTGTGTATATCTTGCAAAATCTTATAACATGGAAAATCCTCAAATTAGTTTAGAATCCACTACAACAGGCACTAACAGAAAGTGTGAGATGAAGGATGAACGTATTAGGAGCATTAATCATGCCATGCATTCTAGAGGGGTATTTTTATACTGTGCAAGGAATGAACATTATGTTTTGAGGCTTAGGCAATTAATATATCGCCCTAATGCCCGTTCATATTTATTAAAACAGTAATGTATGATGTGATAATCTCTAGTATGGTGCTTCATTTAATATTTTTAGATAAGCTGTTCAAATGATTGAATATTTTAGAAAAGCTATACAAATTATTTAATATTTTTTGGTAAACTTTTTAAAAAAATATTTAATAATTAAAATTACATCATATATTCAAAGTTGCTAAATGTATGGAACAAAATCTAAATATGTTTAAAAAAATGAAATCAGTTTAAAAGTTTATAAAAAATAAACTGAATCTTTTAAAAAGCTTATCTAAAAATATTAAATCATGGCCATGATGACGTGTGCAACACCACAATCTAGTATTTAATCGTATAGAATTATCACCTCAGATAAATCTTCCTATGATACATAATGCCATAATGTGTTAATTCTTAAAAAATTTACAATAAACACAATGTTATCAAGTATTGTTGAATGAATACCATTTTATTGAAGAGAAACAGTACAGATAGGTAGTAAAGCTTATATTTACAACATATGAGTGAGGACTATCCTAAGAGAAGATGGAGAATATAAATATTTTGAGTTTGCAAATGAGAATGATCTATGCATAGTGAATACCAAACAGATCAATATAGCAGATTGATAATATATAGTGCCAGTGATTTCACTACAATCTATACTTTCACTTTTGCTCTAATATATGTAGAGACGTGGCTAGCTTCTACTTTAGCAGTGGTGTCCGTGGCCAGAGCTATGTTTGCTTTTGCCAAGGTGGCTAAAGCTTCTCCCACTGCTTGCACTGAATCCTCCCTTATGATCACTTGTACCATGGGACTTTCCTCCTGAGCTGGATTTTCCTCCAGTGCTAGAATGTAGCACAGCTGAAAGACATGAATGTAGAATGTTAAACATTTGCTGAAAAATATGGATGTAGAAAGTTAACTATTTGTACTTGACTGGACTGAAATCTTCAACCAAAGAAGCAGCCATTTTAGGTCTATAATAAATATGAAATATATAGAGAAGAATAGATAACAAGGGGTAATTAGCAAATATAAAAAAAAAAACATTTAATTTAAAGAAAGTTTGAAGAATCAGAGTTCTTAAAATAACTATTAAATTGTGTTTTATTATAGTCTGAATTTTACTTAAAATTTTACATTAAGATCTGTTACACGTATAGAGTAAGCATATTACTAAGCACATTTGTATATTGTACACGTGTTTGTGTGTTACATGATAATCAGCAATTGTTACTAACATTGCCTACAGTGTAAAACAATGTATAGATCAATTTAACACTGGAAAGAGGAAAGTGACAGTGTACCTTATTCAGACTTTAAGGTGTGACGTTAACAAGTGAGTTACAAGCTTAATCTATGTATGCATATGTCTTTGCTAACATTTAATTAAATTGTTTAAATATTGCCTCACTTACATATATTAACAGAGTCATGTGCAGTCAACCTAAAACAAAACAAACAAAAAAGTATTAGTTTAGCACTAAATGACTTTCTCACATTTGGTCAAAATAATAAGTGGCAATAATGTAATGGCATTTGATTTCAAATTTATAGTTCTTTAACATTTGGAATTCTGTTTCAAATGTATAGTTTTTTTTTATTTTAGAACCTTAGTGAGTTACTACATCTGTAATACGTGTTCTACTTTTCAACCAGTATGGAATAAAGGTTAAAACAGCTGGTATGTGCCAAAAGTTTATTGGGAGTCTGTCATCCCCAAGAAAAAATAATGTTTTGGCTCCCTGTGAGGCCTCAGTCCTGTATACCAAAATAAATATATCCATATCTTATAAAAGGGTATCATGTAGACAGTCCGGTCACATGACCCAATACAAATTTGCAAAAAAAAGTATATTCCTTTTGTTAAAAAAAAAATGTTATTTTAAATAAAGACAACATGAGGTGTAGCACCAATAATTAAAGGATCACTATAGTGTCAGGAAAACAAACCCGTTTTCCTGACACTATATAATCATTGGGGGACTCTCATCCTCAGGGTCCCCCTCCCATGGTGCTAAAGGGGTTAAAACCCCTTCAGCCACTTACCTTTATCCAGCGCCGGGCTCCCTCTGCACTGCTGACCTCTCCTCCCCCAACGACATCAGCTCCCAAGTGCCGCACACGCATTCAAACTGTCTATAGGAAAGCATTTCTCAATGCTTTCCTATGGACGCGCTGCACGCTGGATGCGAATTTCGCATCTAGCGTCGCAGAAGTGCCTCTAGAAGCTGTCAGGAAAACAGCCACTAGAGGTTGGATTAACACTGCTATGTAAACATAGCAGTTCCTCTGAAACTGCTAAGTTTACATGTGAAGGGTTAAAACCTGAGGGACATTGCACCCAGAGCACTTCATTGAGCTGAAGTGGTCTGAGTGACTATAGTGTCCCTTTAATATCCAGATACAATTTAATTCTATCTTTTAAATGGGCACTCTTAGCACCAGAATAACTGCAACTCAATATAGTGTTTAGATGAAATGAGACTTCACTGCAGTTTCCACGATGTAAACACTGCCTTGTCTGTGAAAAGGCAGTGTTTACATTGCTCCTTTAGAAGCTGCAAGCCTGGCAAGGCCGATGTTCAGAATCCCCATGCTGTGCGTGAAGATGCTGTATGCTCTCCATAAAGATGTATTGGAAAAATGCATTTCTATGAAGAGATGCTGATTGGCACAGTGTGGAGATATCTATATCTATGTGCTCAGTAGACCCTGAATGCTATCCCTGAGAGATATTCAGTAATGATGATCTCAGACAGGGATGGAGTCGCGACCTTATAAAGACTGTCATGGAATGGGATTAAAGGTAAGTGAAACTATTTTATTTTAGTTAGAAATGGGGGCATGAATCTAAATAGCCAGGAGTACCTTGAACATTCAAAGAAAATATTTGTCTTTCTAATTTTCTAGTTGTCCTTTAATGCTTGTTGCTATGTCCACAACTTTCTCACAAAGACATTTTTGTTAATTGCTAAGTAAACATGTATTACAAATCAAAGGAAGTGAAAGTACCGCTAAAATGTCTGATACAGGTGCATTGTTTTAGAAATTAACATTTGATGCAGTAGATTACTATTATAGAATAAAACAATAAAGAGCAGATTAAAGAACTGAGATGTTGAGATCGACATTATGAGATTGCTATTAAAATTTGACCTGCTAAAAGACTCGATGAGAACATATAGGAACATAATACCTAGTTAATTCTCAGTAGGATATTGGACTCACCTGCCCTCCTCTCCTTCCAGCATCTTCCTGTAGGTGGCGATCTCAATATCCAGAGCTAGTTTCACATTCATGAGCTCCTGGTATTCTCGCAGTTGGCGAGCCATGTCCTGCTTGGCTTTTTGTAGAGCACCTTCCAGCTCAGAAAGCTTGTTCTTGGCATCTCTGACAGCAGATTCTCCACGTTCCTCAGCTTCATTTATTGCAGATTCAAGTGCAGAGCGCTGAAATGTTTTTATACATTAATATATTACTCGTAGTTACACTTCTGTTTTTGATTGTAACTGTTTCAAAGTGAATACAGTTGGGAAATGTTAACAATATCAATTGAAGTGCTTATTTTGCTGAATCTAAATTTATTTGATTTTATCTCTTCAACTACCTGGTTGACTTACTTGATGTACAATATGTTTTACCTGTGCTTTCACATTGTCGATTTCTCCCCTCAATCCCTGAATTGCACGATTTAATTCACAGATCTCATCTCTGCTGCTCTGCAGATTGTTCCCATTCCTTCCTGCCGCTGTCTGAAGCTCCTCAAACTGCCACAGGCAAAAGAAAAATTAGTATAGAAACATTTTTTTTTTTTTAGGTAATGATCTGCATGATTTGAATTGGATAGACTCACCCGTGACTGGTATGTGGCCTCCGCCTCAGCTCTGCTCCTGTTAGCAATGTCCTCATATTGAGATCTGACCTCAGCAATGATTCCATCCAGGTCCAGGTCCCGACTGTTATCCATAGACACAACCACTGAGGTGTCTGAGATCTGAGCCTGGAGCTGGGCTATTTCCTATAAGGATACAAAGAACAGACGAGGCATGGTTGTAAAAAAAATCAATTTTCTCACGTATTAACATAAAGGCATTCTAATCTGACATACTTAGATATATTTGGGGTCGTAAATATATTTCATATTTGTTTTGCATTCCTTGTAAAATGTCATGGATATTAAATCTTTCCAAATTAGCAACAGAGAAAAGTGAAAGTATATTTACCGCATCATACAGAGTCCTCAAGAAACTGATCTCTTCAGTCAGGGAATCAGCCTTTCCTTGTAATTCCGCTCTATTCATAAAAGCTGCGTCTACATCCTGAAGAATAGATTAATGCATAGTAACAGTAAAATTATAGATATATGTTTATATTTGTTATTCTTTTACATATAGATTCAATTTATGTATGATATCACTCACCCTCTTTATTGCAACAAACTCATTCTCTGCAGCTGTGCGTCTGTTCATTTCTTCTTCATATCTAGAACATTAAACATTAATAACAAGCATACAGAATTCTAGATATACAGGGTGCTTTTTCTTAAGAAACTTTGAAGTTTACATTTTCTTCTTAATAATATTAAAGTGGACTGGACTCTGTAAGACATTTTAAGAGAGCACATGCAAAAATATAGACAAATGATGTGTTGGAAATTGGAATTTGTACAAACATTGAAGACATTTATTATTTTCTTCCCAGATATATATGATATATCTGAATAACTCCATGATGTTGCAGTACGAGTGGATTTATTTAGTATATTTATTTATTCTATTATATTATAAACTATCTAAATAGCAGCATACCTTCTCCTTAGTTCTTCCACAGATTGCTCCATATTGTTCCTTTCTGAGTCCAGACGTTCTCTTTCACATCCCAGACTCTCCAACTGTCTCCTGAGGTTACCAACAAAAGCCTCAAACAGTGGTTCTATCTGAATGTGGGCACTTTTCTGTTCTTGTAATAAAGACCATTTTGTCTCCAGCATTTTATTCTGCTGTTCCAAAAATCTAACCTAGAAAAAAAAATATTGTTATACTTTTTGTTAGTCATCATATATATCTAGGACAAGGTGTCTAATAATATCTTAGAAAATGTGCAAACTGTACTACAAGTGACATAGAAGCATGCCTTATTTCAGCATGTAATGAAAATAGTATTTTTATTATTATCATTAATATTATTAGACTGCAATAGAAATTTTAGTAACCCATGCAAGTCTCTAGACCAGAGATAGGCATCCTTTGGCTCTCTAGATGTTGTGGAATACATCTCCCCCGATGCTTTGCCAGCATTATGACTGTAAGAGCATTATAGGTAATGTAATCCACAACATCTGGAGTGCTGAAGGTTGCCTAACCCTGCTCAAGACATTATTTTTATCCCAAAACATTCAGAAGCTAGTAGCTCGTTCTTTAATAGCATATCTAGATAAAACCCTAACGAAATAGTTAATACTTATTGTAGATCTAGCTGTAATTACATTGCACATACTTAGATTGCATTAGGTAATATTTGATTCATAAAAAAAAAAATAAGAGTGCTGGTACTGGTAGACATTGGCTTCTGCAGCAAAAATATTTCTGAAAGCACATTATTTTGATGTAAACTGCAAAATAGCTTAATTTTGTTGTCTCATAACCTCTTGAAATTAAGACATAAAAACACTGACTGATACCAGTTAGAACCATCAGCATAAATGTTTTAAGAAGGAATAGCACATCCGCATACTACAAATTCAGTTATTTCTTTAGTCCACGTATTCATTAAAATTATCTCACCTTATCAATGAAAGAAGCAAATTTGTCATTCAGTCCTCTAATCTGATTCTTCTCTTCAGTCCTCACTCGCTGAATGCTTGGGTCAATCTCCAGGTTGAGAGGAGCCAGAAGACCTTGGTTCACAGTAACATTGTTGATACCTCCAGAGCAACCAGATCCCCCAAATCCATAACCAATACCTCCAATACTGAAACCAGATCCATACCCAGATCCATGTCCAGATCCGTGTCCAGTTTTCCCAGAATGGCAGCTTCCCATTGAGATATTGTTTCCCCTGGAACCCATACTATGGGCACTTCTGCTGCTAAAGCAATGCAGTGTCTTATGACCATGAGCTGCTGATTTGGAGGAGTGAGATAATGTGTGGTAAGAGCTGCCATGTTTAGGAGAAGCCATTGAACAGGAACTGAAGTGCTTTTGTCCAGAGGTACCAAGGATGGAGTGATGAGACATGATGTTACTTCTTGCAGAGCAGATCTAAGGATGTAGAGATCACGTTAAGTCTGCTCAGGCGATTCACATCTTCTAGACAAAAACTCACTCTTTTTATACTTCAAATGGGTGTTGGCTCGCTCACCCAAAATGTTATTAGCTGCTATGATCATTGTTTGGGAATATTATTGCTGTCTGATTTCACAGAAATAAAACTTTAACACACCTATGTCATCAAAGCTAAATGCATTTATTGTTGGCTTCCTTTAGTTTAACCTCTTAAGGACGGCAGGCGGCATGACTTCCATTTTGGGTGGTCCAAAGCGGCATAGAACGTCCCCGCCATTCTTTGTACTTACCTGGTCCCTGACCTTCCCCCAATGGCAATAGCGATCCTGGGGTCTGCCTGGGAGCTCAGGCACACATCCTCTGCCCGGCCATACGGTCTTTGCGATCACATGGCCGAAAAAGCCGGCTTATGCACTGACTGCAGGGGGCCTGCCTGCGCTCTCAGGCAGTCCCCCTAATCCCTGCAAAAAAGTTTATAAAGTTATTAAAAGTTAATAAAAAGTTTAATAAAGTAAGTAAAAGTACTCGGATCTTATATATATATATATATACATATATATATATATAAAATACAGAATCCAGCACACTCGCTTATTCACTAAACAATGATTTCAAATCACCTCACCTAGGCAAAAAATGATGGCGGTTTAGTTACATGATAGTCCAGGCCAGCTCCTTGGATTTGCACCTCCTTGGATTTGCACAGGTGCCTCGTTCCAGGACCCTATTTGGCCTTGACTTGCAGAGAGTCCCAGTAGGGAAGCATTTCCCAATTAAGTGGATTAATCTCATAAGAGCAAGCATTAGGCTGCTAGGATAGGACCTGCCGAATATAGGGGACTTTGACGTAGTTGGCAGGCTTATGCAATGTATGATCATATAATGTAACTAAACCCCCTTCATTTTTTGCCTAGGTAAGGTGGTTTTAAATAAAACTATTACAATCTCTAAGATTTGAAATCATTGTTTAGTGAATAAGCAAGTGCGCTGGATTCTGTATTTTGTATATTTTGGCCCCAGCAGCACCCTATAATGTATGCATGTTCAGGTGAGTGCAGCCCTCTTTGATTTGTTTATATATATGTGATCAATTGGAAAAGTTACTAATTAGAGAAATGAAAATAAAATGGGAGGTTTTTAAATTAGAAAGATATGTTACACATATAAAAAAAAACAAGAGGTTTAAGGTTTCAAAAATTTCCCACTTTTGATCAAGATCATGAGGTCTTCATGATTATATGGAATAATTCGTTAGAATCATTTTCATTCCATATGATAGGAATTATAATAGAGCAGAGGGGTCAGACTCTGCATCAATTAGAAGAGAAAATTAAAGATATTCAGATAAAATTAGAACCCTTTATACAGATGGATGAATTTGAAAGCATCAATAAAAAAATGATAGAAAAAATTGTTAGGTTAGAAAAAAAGATTATAGAAACTAAAAGAAGGAAGTTTAAATGAGACATGGATGATTATGCTCAGGGAAAAATTAGGAATTTTTCATCTTTGGAAATAAATAAAGACAAAAACAGAAAAAGTGGACCCTATTATAATAAAGCAAATATAACTAAAAGGAAAAATATGGATATCACACATCAACATCAAATAAGGGAGGAACAAGAGAAAAATAGAAGAGAATATTTTACAGATAGAGTTCCATTTAGAAAGGAAGAAGAATGGAAAAAAGTTACCCCCCCCCCGGAGAAGAAGGAATTCTAATAGAAGAGAACCTAGTAATCCCCCACTATATAAAAGTGATATATATAAAAGAACCTCCCCACAAAGGACTTTTTCCTTTAATAGATTTGAAAAGTTAAGAGACCTTGGGGAAGAAAATCAGGACCTTTTTTTAGGTCCAGCATACCTAAACAGGAGAAAAGTAAATACTCCATTAAAGAGAACAAGGGAAATGGAAGAAGGAGAAGTAGAGGAAGAAAGAAAGAGAAAAAAATACGAGAAAGGGAGGAGAAACTAGAAGATAAATCCATCCCTATTTTTAACCTTTCTGATAAAATTTTAACAGATACTCATTTGTCTGTTTTACAGAAAGGTTTTAAGTTCTCACCAAGTTGTGAGGCTGAGAAATTTGACAGTTTTTTAGATCTGAGTAGATTTTTTCGTAAATTATATCTTACATTTTTTTTTTAAAGGTTTCATACCTAAAGAGGTAGATATTGATAATTCTTATAAACACACAGATTTGAAACAAAAATCTTCATTTTATCCATTAAATAAAAAAACGGAAGCAATGAAGGTCTTCGAAAAATTATGTCTTAAGGATTTGAGAAAGTTAAATCCACTCAATAAATATCAAAAAAATTTAACAAAAAAAGAAAAATTTGCATTAAAAGACTTAAAAGAAGACAAATCCATAATAATAAAACCGGCAGATAAAGGAGGAGGCGTGGTGATCTGGCAAAAGAATAAATATTTAAAAGAAATCCAGAATCAATTAGATGATAACACTACCAATTTGAAACTAGATGGCAATCCATTAAGTAAAATAAAGGAAGAGTATGAAAGTTTTTTAAAAGAAGGGATGGAAATAGGAATTTTGCATAAGAAGGAATATACATTTTTAAAAGTGGAGCATCCAAGAATACCAGTAATTTATGTATTGCCTAAAATACATAAAGATGTTTTTAACCCACCTGGAAGGCCAATAGTATCTGGCATAGGATCACTTCTGTCCAATTTATCACAATATATTGATCAATTTTTACAGGATTTAGTTAAAAAATGTCCAACCTACTTAAAAGACACAGTGAGCCTATTGAATATTCTGGAAAATTTTAAATGGGATAAGGAATATATCATGGCAACTTGTGATGTCAGCAGTCTGTATACAAATATAACTCATGATAGAGGATGTGATGCAGCGAGACATTTTTTAAATAAATTTGGGGATTTTAATAAGTTACAAGTCGACTTCATTTTAAAAGGGATAGAAATCATATTAAAAAATATTTTTTTCTGGTATGAAGACCAATTTTACCTACAGATCCAAGGAACAGCTATGGGGACCAGGTTTGCTCCCAGTTATGCAAATTTATTTATTTCATACTGGGAGGAAACGTTTGTCCTCCCAGCTGCAGATTTGGGAGCAAACCTGGCCCTCTATAAGCGTTATTTAGACAATATTTTTATTATCTGGAAAGGAGATGAAGATTCTTTGACTAAATTTTTTGATTTTTTAAATTCCAATGATTGGAATATTAAACTTGTCTCCAATATTAGTAATCAGAGTATCACCTTTTTAGATTTGGATATTTTTATTGAATTGAACCAAATTAAGAGTAAAACTCATTTTAAGAAGGTTGACGTTAATAGTTTTATAGATTTACGCAGCTGTCACTTTAAACCTTGGTTGGAAAATGTACCAAAGGGACAGTTTCTCAGACTAAGGAGGAACTGTACGGATCTTAAAGATTATCAGAATCAATCTTGTAATTTAATGCAACAATTTATAGATAAGGGATATGATCCTATCTCTATTAAGAATGCTAGAGATGAAGGAGTCAACTTTTAAAATATAAGAATAAGGAGAAAAAGAAAAAAGATGATTTTATTCCTTTGATTTTAAATTTCAGTACTAATAACAGATCAGTATGTAATATTTTTTAAAAAAATTGGCATGTGCTAAAGGAAGATAAAGACCTTTTACCTTATTTGCCAGATAGACCTCAATTTATTTTTAGAGGAGCTAGGAATTTTAGCCAAATTTTAACAAAAAGTTTCTTAGATAAGGAAAAGCAGGGTAAAATAATTTTTTAGAAGGACAAGTAGGTTTCTACTATTGTGGAGATTGCACTGGGTGCAGATTAAAAAGGAACACAAAAAAAAGTATAAAAAACGAATAGAACTTCAGGAGAAGAGTACAAAATACATTCACTTATTACATGTAATACAACTAATGTTATATACCTTTTAACCTGTCCATGTGGTTACCAATATATTGGTAAAACGATTAGAAAATTAAAAGTTAGAGTGGGGGAACACATTAATAATATAAAGAAAAAAATTGTTAATCATAGTGTTTTGAAACATTTTTTAGAATACCATAATGGTAACCCAGATGGTCTTAAATTTATTGGTATCGAGAAGATTAAAGTTCATTGGAGAGGAGGTTGTAAAGAAAATATTTTAAGTAGAGCAGAAATGGGGTGGATGTTCAATTTAAACACCTTAACCCCTGAAGGACTAAATGTGGATTTTGAAATTGCCTCTTTTTTATAATAAAATTTTATCATAATTTTATATTATTCTTATGATGAATTGTTGTTTTACATTGCTTCTCCTTTATTTTTCTCCTTTTATTTTTTATATTATATTTATAATTTTTAAATGATATCTATTATATATTTTAATGAGAATTTTTTTCTCTTTTTCTCTTTCCTATATTATATACTTCATTCCCTGGGAGCATAATATTTAGATTTATAATATTTTTATGTTTAGAAGAACATGCTATTTTATAGATGCATTTCATGTTTATTTTAAGAGTATCTAACGGACATATACACTAAAAAAATTTCTAAATAGATATGTGTATTAAAGACTTTCCAAAAGTGGAAATATGTATTAAAGAAAATTGAGAGAGGACTTTTTCGCCGGACATCTACAGGACTACAAAATAATATGGCCACTGACTCATAAGCATCCATAGGACTACAAAATGACATGACCGCTGACCCGGAAGTGCGTATGACGCAAACCGGAAATGCCCTTTGGACGTATGCCGTAAATCGTAAACCGAAAGCCAGCTGATCGGGGATCACGACCGGAAACCGGAAGTGAACCGGCGGGGAAACTGAGTGCGCCTTTTTTAAAGATATATAAATGAATAATTTGTGAAGATATGTAGCACTTTGATAAAGACCACTACTGGTCGAAACGCGTTAGTGCAATATAATTGGAGATTCCATTTTATGCTTATATGCTTTTTTATATGATTTAAAGCAAAATAAAGGTTTATTTGTTCCAGTATTTCTCTATTTGGAATCTATCAAAGAGAAACTTCGGAAGGAACTACCTTAACTTGCTGGCTGGCATTTGGGTCTCCAGGATATCTTAAAAGGCGCTTGTAGTCTGAGCCACTCTTTTAAGGCTCAGCACCACGTGAGTGGGCTATTTTATATTTTATTTTATTTGTCCTTTATATACAGACTATACTATGTGATGTATTTTATATTTTTAGGACATTTATGTGAAAATTCAAGATAAAGGGTAACATTGCATGTTCTTATCTTGTTCACATTTGGTGTATATTGCTGTCACCATATTATATTCTATTTTGTTATAAATACATATATGTATCTATCTATCTATCTATCTAAATGTGCATATAGATATATATAAATAAAAATAATTTTAAAAATTATATATATATATATATATACATACATTCACATATGGGGGGTACTGTTTTATTCGAGAGACTTCGCTGAACACAAATATTAGCGTTTAAAACCAGTAAAACATAGCCCAATGATGAAATCGTCAGTCAAAATTCAGTTGTTTGCATTTTCAAACACAATTGGTACTTTCACTGATGATATAATTGTTGTGATACATTTTACTATTTTAAAACACTAATATTTGGTTTGGTGTAGTCTCCCGAGTATAACGGTACTCTCCATGTACAGATTTTATGGTGTTTTCAAAAGTTACTGAGTTGAATACAAGGCTTGAATTTCCTTTTTTTCACATTGAAATTTCCCCTATTGATTATGTTGCCTTTGAGACCGTATGGTAGCCAGGAATGATAATTAGCCCCATGATGGCATACCATTTATACAAGTAGACAATCCAGGGTATTGCAAATGGGGTATGTCCAGTCTTTTGTAGTAGCCACAAACACTGGCCAAAATTAGCGTTCAATTTAGTTTTTTGCATTTTTCACTCACAATTAAATATGAACGCTAAGTTTGAATAGGTGAATTACGCCTGAACATACATATAGCGCAAATTCAGGGTTTTGTTTCCGTTTTGTTTTGATCACAACTTCTACAATTGGCTCAGTCCTTAAGGGGTTAAAGTACTTTAAGTAATAGATGGCTTGACAATTTATTCTGCCATATTTTTTCAAATCTTGACTTTTATGTTTGAAGAAATAGTCATTCAAATGTTCCTTATCTACTAATGAAATATATATTATTTCCCTGCAGCACATTTTTAACAAAAAATGCAATTTATCAAATTTTAGCTTGATGACAGTGTTATGATATTAAAAATATTGACAGTTGTCCTTTAAATAAGGAGAAATTCTGATTTAACCAGAGGAAAAACCCATGAGGACTTGAACTTGTTTGCACTTGTTTTTTGGCAGACAACAGCCTTGTATCACTTTAACTTGGCATTCTTGAAACCTTTTTTGGCCTGTCTGACTAATGTAGATGGTATCACCATGCTACCACTGTAATTTGGCAAAATGTTTCTGTACAAATCCCGTCAGCAGATATGGCACGTAAAGGCAAGAAGAATTGACATGTAACTCAGCCAAAACATTCACACACTGACACAACTCCTGGCAGATGAAGTTGTTCATCAGGATGAAGATGGATGTGGCTGCGAGGTAATGCTTTAGATAAGTATACCCACGATCCACTAGACACCATGACCACTATCAACTAAGCTGAGATGTCATATTTGGAAGACTTTGCAAATTATGCCGTTTTTAGCCTCATTAAAATCCAGTTTTAGCCTCATTGTTATGTTATATTTCTGCATGATCAAATCTTTATGATTTTTGCACAAAAAAATAAAAACATGTTTTGCAGAATGCTACACAAAAAATACACAAGTTGTGGAGGAAAAGGTGATATGATGAGAGACACACAAATTGGGCATTATATAGAGGTCCTCAAGTGGGGGAAGGAGGAGTTATGGGAAGATACACAAAGTTTGGGACAGATAAATGTATAGTGTGGGAATAGGGAGATATGTCTTTAGATATGTAGTTTGGGCTGAGACATCTAACCACTTTCTTTTAATAGTTAACTGTTTAGTAGACAAGCTAAACGAGAAAGAGTGTTTTAACTTTATGATTGTGCTTATATCTGCAACTACACTTCATCATAAAGTACATTTCACAAATGAAAAGAAAAGCCATTTGAGTTTTTGGTCAGGACTCTGCCGACTGATCATCCTTTTCTGAGTGCCTTCTTTTTAAACTAACAGAAAAGCACTTTATCTGCTATGTTTCTTTATAGAAGATGATAGGATGGAAAAAGTACAAACTTGTTCTGAAATGGTAATCTTTTCTATTCCTACCTGTGCTTTGGCAGGTATCATATGAGAGTCACATATTCTACATTGGTTTCTTTATTGTCTCATACAAGAGTAATTATTCGTACTGCCAATGTCATTGTCACATTCACAATATTGCATCATTTCTACCTCTATCTCTTTTTCTATATCTGTTTTTTATGTAAAGTAACACAGACAATAAAATTTACCATTTGTGCGTACATCCTTCAGTAACTGTGTCACTTCAAGCAATGCTGAGAACTGACGGGTTATTCACTACACACTGGATTTTGGCCTCAATTTAATATTGCTGGATAGGCAGCCGGATGGTTTTACCCCATTTCATAGGGCCATTCTGTGTGCATGGCTTTTTCACACTTGGTTCAGTAAATGGAGCTTACTGAACCAAGTATTGCATAGGCGGACCACCCAGAAGTTTAAGTGTGTGGCTTATTTACCTCCCAGGCTGGGAGGTTGCTGTAGGTAAATTGCCGACCGCTGGGTTGCCGCCGTTCGTACAAATGAACATGTGGCGGCGACCATCTTTATTAATTTGCATGCGGTCAGCGGTGTGTGCAGCCAAATCTATGGAACTGTTTTCGGCTACCCAATTGCACGAACACCGCTGACCCGTACCTTCTCCTCCACTTTGACACTGTGGCTGGAGGCTAAGTCGCGTTCGGCGATTCGAACTCATGTTCGAATGGGACTTAGTCATTTTTCAGTGTGAAATTGACCGACCGCACAGCCCAAATCCATGGAACTGTTTTGGGCATGAAAATGTGCTTGGTCACAAAGGACTTCCAGCTACCTTTTTAACCCCTGGAAGGATTGGCCTGAATTTTGGATATGTTTATATTTAAAGTGTGCTGATTAATAATATATTAATTTTGTGGAGATTGAATGTATAGTTTTAAAGTTACAGTACATGTATAAAAAGTATATTTTTCCTGCCTGTGATAATTACATTAACCCATTGTGTACAGTAATTATATCACAGGCAGAGGGGAGGATTTTGTGGGAATGAATAGGAGTGTTTTACTGTATATTACGGGTTTGATTGGATGTTCCACAAAACCCTGTGGGTGTTACTTTATGTGTACAATTTGTATATAGGGCAAAAAAAACACAGCTCTGTCTGTTTTGACCTTCAACATATAGCCTCGTCTTATGATTTGGGGGAAAAGGCTGCATCTACACTGGGGGATTGCTATACTCTACATACTCCCCTAGCTATAATCACTAAGCTCTTTTAAGAGCGTGTTCCAGCTTCACTCTCTGCAGGAAGAGAGGTTCAGTCTGCAATGTTTATGGTGTCTGGAGAAGCGCTTGGAGCCCTCGGATAGCACTAGGAACATCCATCAACGGAGGTACTCGGTTGGAGTACTGGAGCTCCGTTACAGGGAGATATACATAGGAGTAAATGAGAAGTGCATTGGTAAGGGAGGAAGATAGGCAAACACAACACACAATCACACGACTGCACACATATATACTAACCGTCCAAACAATTACACCACTGAATGCACATCTCAACATTCTGTGCATTGACTTTATTATTATTTATTTACTGATGATCAAATTGTAGCAAATTACAAATTCAAATGACAAAAAGGAGGCTAATTGTGTGTGCAATAAGTTGTGACTGTAGTTGAGTTGAGAAATTCTCTGAATCGGATATATCTGTAATCTCTTCAGGCATTATTCTAAAGTCATGCAATTAAATAACCCTCTATTGATCCTCCAAAAATGGGGTTCTGGATCTACCCCTGAGCTTGTGTCCTATGTGAAAGCCAACCACAGTGACTGCATTTCCTTAGTTGGCCTGAATGCTGTCTTTAGCTATGTAGTTTGGGCTGAGACATCCAACCACTTTCTTTTAGTAGATAAACGAAACGAGAGTGTTTTAAAGGACCACTCTAGGCACCCAGACCACTTCAGCTTAATGAAGTGGTCTGGGTGCCAGGTCCAGCTAGGGTTAACCCATTTTTTCATAAACATAGCAGTTTCAGAGAAACTGCTATATTTGTGAATGGGTTAAGCCTTCCCCTATTTCCTCTAGTGGCTGTCTCATTGACAGCCACTAGAGGCGCTTGCGTGCTTCTCACTGTGATTTTCACAGTGAGAGCACGCCAGCGTCCATAGGAAAGCATTATGAATGCTTTCCTATGTGACCGGCTGAATGCGCGCGCAGCTTTTGCCGCGCGTGCGCATTCAGCTGCATGGGAGGAGAAGAGGTGGATCGGAGGAGGAGAGCTCTCCGCCCAGCGCTGGAAAAAGGTAAGTTTAACCCCTTTTCCCCTTTCCAGAGCCGGGCGGGAGGGGGACCCTGAGGGTGGGGGCACCCTCAGGGCACTATAGTGCCAGGAAAACTAGTATGTTTTCCTGGCACTATAGTGGTCCTTTAACTATATGATTGTGCTTATCTCTGCAACTACACTTCATCATAAAGTACATTTCACAAATGAAAAGAAAAGTCATTGGAGTTTTTGGTCAGGACTCTGCCGACTGATCATACTTTTCTGAGTGCCTTCTTTTTAAGCTAACATAAAAGCACTTTATCTGCTATGTTTCTTCATAGAAGATGAAAGGATGGAAAAAGTACAAACTTGTTCTGGAATGGTAATCTTTTCTATTCCTACCTGTGCTTTGGCAGGTATCATATGAGAGTCACATGTTTCTTTATTGTCTTCCAAAAGAGAAGACAATAAGCCAATGTCATTGTCACATTCACAATACTGCACCATTTCTACCTCTATCTCTGTTTCTATTTCTGTTTTTTTATGTAAAGTAATACAGACAATAAAACTTACCATTTGTGCATATATCCTTCAGCAACTGTGTCACTTCAAGCAATGCTCAGAACTGATGGGTTATTCACTACACAGTGGATTTTGGCCTCAATTTAATATTGCTGGATAGGCAGCCGAATTGTTTTACCCCATTTGATAGGGCCATTGTGACTTAGTGAATATTTTTGAAAGTTTTTTTGAAAGACATCTATATTTTTATTTATTTTTGAACTTTGAAACCAGCTCTTTTACAATAAAGCCAATAAGTAAGTCTTGTTTTTGTTTCACGTATTGGGAGCATAAATCGTGCCATGCATTCTAGAGGGGTATTTTTATGCAAGGAATGAACATTATGTTTTGAGGCTTACACAAGTAATATATCGCCATAATGCCCATTCATATTTATTAAAATAGTAATGTATGATGTGATAATATCTAGTATATGGCTTCATTTAATATTTTTAGATAAGCTGTTCAAATGATTGAATATTTTAGAAAAGCTATACAAATTAATATTTTTTGGCAAACTTTTTTTTCAAAATATGTAATAATTAAAATTACATCATATATTAAAAGTTAATAAATGTATGGAAACAAAATCTAATTATTAGCGAAATTCTGTAGGGAAGAAATAGAGGTGGATCTTGATTTTACTTGTAGTTCTATGATATTACATATTGGATGGCCCACAATTCCAAATTATCCACATCCTTGTAGAAACTAAAGCCACTCTTGCAAGATTTTGGAAAACTTCACATTCCCCGTCTTGGGAGATGATAAAACATCAGGTCTTGAATAATTGTAAAATGGAAATAGGGATATTGAGACAAGACAATTATTACAATCCACGAATTGAACAATGGCAGAAATGGATTGTAAAATTATGAAGAAGAAATGAGACTTAACATACATTAAGGTTTATACGTTCGGGAATTGTAGATAGGGTAGTGGAACCTGTGCATAAATTTCTAAATTAGCCATAGTTTTACGGAGCCTGATTGGTAGAAAGAATGATTGTCAAATGTTCTGTTTTTAGGTTCCTAGGAGTAATATGCAACTAACTCTCAGCAAAGGGCAGTCTGGTTTTTTTTTTCTTTCTGGATTAATATAGGTAGGTAGGAAATTTCATTAAAAGTATAAATATATAAGGTTGGGACTTGATAGACAAAAGGAGAAGGGAAAGGAAGGAAGTAGGGAAAGAAAGGAAAAAAAGAGGAAAAAAGTATTTTAGGAATTATTGTATATATTGAAAATCTCCCTCCCTTTTTGTATTGAAAGTGATCGAATTGTAATGTTTTTACACATACCTCATGTTATTTTCCTTTTAATGTTTAATGTCTAATGTTTAATGTCTAATTGTTTTTTTTTTTGTAACAATGTATGTTAATACCTTTTTCTTTAAAAAGAAAAAAAAGGAAATATTACAAAAGAAAAAGGAAAAAAATAAGAAAAACATTTTTCAATAAAGATTAAATATATAAAAAAATCTAATTATGTTTAAAAAAATGAAATCATTTTCAAAGTTTATAAAAAAAATATATTGAATCTTTTAAAAAGCTTATCTAAAAATATTAAACCAAGGCCATGATAATGTGTGCAACACCACAATCTAGTATTTCATTGTAGAGAATTTTTATCGCCTCAAATAAATCTTCCTATGACACGTAATGCCATAATGTGTTAATTCTTAAACAATTTACAATAAACACAATGTTGTCAAGCATTGTTGAATGAATACCATTTTATTGAAGAGAAACAGTACAGATAGGTAGTAAAGCTTATATTTACAACATATGAGTGAGGATTATCCTAAGAGAAGATGGGGAATAGAAATATTTTGAGTTTGCAAATGAGAATGATCTATGCATGGTGAATACCAAATAGATCAATATAGCAGATTGATAATATATAGTGCCAGTGATTTCACTACAATCTATACTTTCACTTTTGCTCTAATATATGTATGGCTAGCTTCTACTTTAGCAGTGGTGTCCGTGGCCAGAGCTGTGTTTGCTTTTGGAGAGGTGGCTAAAGCTCCTCCCACTGCTTGAACTGAATCCTCCTTTATGATCACTTGTACCATGGGACTTCCCGCCTGAGCTGGATTTTCCTCCAGTGCTAGAATGTAGCACAGCTGAAAGACATGAATGTAGAATGTTAAACATTTATTGAAAAACATGGATGTAGAAAGTTAACTATTTGAACTTGACTGGACTCAAATCTTCAACCAAAGAAGGAGCCATTTAAGGTCTGTAATAAACATGAAATATATAGAGAAATATACATAACAAGGGACTATTTACAAATAAAAAACATTCAATTAAAAACAAGTTTAAAGACTTCTTAAAAAAATCTATTAAAATGTGTTTATTATAGTCTGAATTGTACTTAAAATGTTACATTAAGATCTGTTACACATATACAGTAAGCATATTACTAAGCACATTTGTATATGTATGTGTGGGTGACCACCGTGTTTGTGTGTTACATGATAATCAGCAATTGTTACTAACATTGCCTACAATGTAAAACAATGTATAGATCAACACTGGATAGAGGAAATTGACAGTGTACCTTATTCAGAATTTAAAGTGTGAGGTTAACAAGTGAGTTACACACTTAATCTATGTATGCATATGTCCTTGTTAATTTAATTAAATTGTTTAAATATTGCCTCACTTACATATATTAACAGAGTCATGTGCAGTCAACCTAAAACAAAACAAAAAAAAGTATTAGTTTAGCACTAAATTTCTTTCTCACATTTGGTCAAAATAATAAATGGTAATAATGTAATGGCATTTGATTTCAAATTTATAGTTCTTTAACATTTGGAATTCTATTTCAAATGTATACGTTTTTTTTTAATTTTAGAGCCTTAGTGAGTTACTACATCTGTAATACGTGTTCTACTTTGCAACCAGTATGGAATAAAGGTTAAAACAGCTGGTATGTGCCAAATGTTTACTGGGAGTCTGTCATCCCCAAGAAAAATAATGTTTTGGCTGCCTGTGAGGACTCAGTCCTGTATACTAAAATAAGTATATCTGTAGCTTATAAAGGGTATCATGTAGACAGTCCGGTCACATGACCCAATACAAATTTGCAAAAACATATTCCATATTCCTTTTGTTAAAAAAATTGTTCTTTTAAATAAAGACAACATGAGATATAGCACCAATAATTAAAGATCACAAACCGGTTTTCCTGACACTATATAATCCTTGGGGGGATCTATCTATATCTATGTGCTCAGTAGACCCTGAATGCTTCTCTATAGAATATTGGTTAAGATATTCAGTAATGATGATCTCAGACAGGGATGGACTCGCGGCCTTAGAAAGACTGTCATGGAATGGGATTAAAGGTAAATGAAACTGTTTTATTTGAGTTAGAAAGGGGGCATGATTTTTAAAGCCAGGATTACCTCTAACATTCAAAGCATATATTTGTCTTTCTAATTTCTAGTTCTTCTTTAATGCTTGTTGCTATTTCCACAACTTTCTCACAAACACATATTTGTTATTATGGGGATAAGTAAACATGTATTACAAATCAAAGGAAGTGAAAGTACTGCTATAATGTCTGATACAGGTGCATTGTTGTAGAGATTAAAACTTGATGCAGAAGATTACTATTATAGAATAAAACAATAAAGAGCAGATTAAAGAACTGAGATGTTGAGATCGACATAAAGAGATTGCTATTAAAATTTGTCCTACTAAAAGACTCAATGATGAGAACAAATAGGAACATAATGATGTAGGTCCACAGTTAGAAACCTGATGAGTGCAGGGTTTGTATGAATACCTAGTTAGCTCTCAGTAGGATATTGCACTCACCTGCCCTCCTCTCCTTCCAGCATCTTCCTGTAGGTGGCGATCTCAATATCCAGAGCCAGTTTCACATTCATCAGCTCCTGGTATTCTCGCAGTTGACGAGCCATATCCTGCTTGGCCTTCTGTAGAGCACCTTCCAGCTCAGAAAGCTTGTTCTTGGCATCTCTGACAGCCGATTCTCCACGTTCCTCAGCTTCATTTATTGCAGATTCAAGTGCAGAGCGCTGAAATGTTTTTATACATTAATATATTACTCGTAGTTACACTTCTGTTTTTGATTGTAACTGTTTCAAAGGAATACAGTTGGGAAACGTTAACAATATCAATTGAAGTGCTGATTTTGCTGAATCTAAATTTTATTTAATTTTTTCTCTTCAACTACCTGGTTGACACACTTGAAGTAAAACGTGTTTTACCTGTGCTTTTACATTGTCAATTTCTCCCCTCAGTCCCTGAATTGCACGATTTAATTCACAGATCTCATCTCTGCTGTTCTGCAGATTGTTCCCATTCCTTCCTGCCGCTGTCTGAAGCTCCTCAAACTGCCAAAGACAAAAGAAAAATTAGTATAGAAACATTTTTTTATAGTTAATGATCTGTATGATTTGAATTGGATAGACTCACCCGTGACTGGTACGTGGCCTCCGCCTCAGCTCTGCTCCTGTTAGCAATGTCCTCATATTGAGATCTGACCTCAGCAATGATTCCATCCAGGTCCAGATTCCGACTGTTATCCATGGATACAACCACTGAGGTGTCTGAGATCTGAGCCTGGAGCTGGGAAATTTCCTATGAGGATACAAAGAACAGACGAGGCATGTTGTAAAAGACTCAATTTTCTCACGTATAATAAGTTCATTATTAACATAAAGGAATTCTAAACTGACTTACTTAGATATATTTGGGGTCGTAAATATACTTCATATTTATTTTGCATTCCTTGTAAAATGACTGATGTCATGGATATTAAATCTTTCCAAATTAGCTACAGAGAAAAGTGAAACTATATTTACCGCATCATACAGAGTCCTCAAGAAACTGATCTCTTCATTCAGGGAATCAGCCTTTCCTTGTAATTCCGCTCTATTTATAAAAGCTGCGTCTACATCCTGAAGAAGAGATGAATGCATAGTAACAGTAAAATTATAGATATATGTTTATATTTGTTATTCTTTTACATATAGATTCAATTTATGTATGATATCACTCACCCTCTTTATTCCAACAAACTCATTCTCTGCAGCTGCGCGTCTGTTTACTTCTTCTTCATATCTACAATAGAATGTTAAACATTAATAACAAGCATACAGAATTCTAAATATACAGGGTGCTTTTTCTCAAGAAACCTTTAAGTTTACATTTTCTTCATAATAATATTAAAGTGAACTGGACTCTTAAATACATTTTGAGAGCACATGCAAAATTATAGACAAATGATGTGTTGGATATATATGATGATATATCTCAATAACTCCATAGTGTTGCAGTACGAGTGAATTATTTTAATGTATTTATTTATTATATTATATTATAAACTATCTAAATAGCAGCATACCTTCTCCTTAGTTCTTCCACAGATTGCTCCATATTGTTCCTTTCTGAGTCCAGACGTTCTCTTTCACATCCCAGACTCTCCAGCTGTCTCCTGAGGTTACCAATAAAAGCCTCAAACAGTGGTTCTATCTGAAAGTGGGCACTTCTCTGTTCTTGTAATAAAGACCACTTTGTCTCCAGCATTTTATTCTGCTGTTCCAAAAATCTAACCTAGAAAAAAAATATTTTTATACTTTTTGTTAGGAACATATATATTACTATACCATATAGTACAAGGTGTCTAATGATATCTTAGGAAATGTGCAAACTGTACTACAAGTGACATAGAGGCATGCCTTATTTCAGCATGTAATGAAAATAGTATTTTTATTATTATTAATATTAGACTGCAATAGAAATTTAGTAACCCATACAAGTCTCTAGACCAGAGATAGGCATCCTTTGGCTCTCTAGATGTTGTGGAAAACATCTCCCCTCATGCTTTGCTAGCATTATGACTGTAAGAGCATTATAGGTAATGTAGTCCACAACATCTGGAGTGCTGAAGGTTGCCTAACCCTGCTGTAGACATTACTTTTATCCCAAAACATTCAGAAGTTAGTAGCTCATTCTTTAATAGCATATCTAGATAATACCCTAACGAAATAGTTAACACTTATTGTAGATCTAGCTGTACTTACATTGCACATACTTGGATTGCATTATATAATATTTAATTCATAAAAAAAAATATAAAAGTGCAGGTATTGGTAGACATTGGCTTCTGCAGCAAAAATACTCCTGAAAGCACACTATTTTGATGTAAACTGCAAAATAGTTTAATTTTGTTGAAATTTAGACATAAAAACACTGACTGATACCAGTTTGAACCATCAGCATAAATGGCTATAGAAGTGTAAAATTAAATAACTTTTCCCTTTTTTAACCTTTGCATAACTATTTTAAGAAGTACATCTGCATACTACAAATTCAGTTATTTATGTATTCCACATATTCATTAAAATTATCTCACCTTGTCAATGAAAGAAGCAAATTTGTCATTCAGTCCTCTAATCTGATTCTTCTCTTCAGTCCTCACTCGCTGAATGCTTGGGTCGATCTCCAGGTTGAGAGGAGCCAGAAGACCTTGGTTCACAGTAACGTTGTTGATACCTCCAGAGCAACCAGATCCCCCAAATCCATAACCAATACCTCCAATACTGAAACCAGATCCATATCCAGATCCGTGTCCAGATCCGTGTCCAGTTTTCCCAGAATGGCAGCTTCCCATTGAGACCTTGTTTGCCCTGGAACCCATACTATGGGCACTTCTGCTGCTAAAGCAATGCAGTGTCTTATGAGCTGCTGATTTGGAGGAGTGAGATAATGTGTGGTAAGAGCTGCCATGTTTAGGAGAAGCCATTGAACAGGAGCTGAAGTGCTTTTTTCCAGAGGTACCAAGGATGGAATGATGAGACATGATGTTACTTCTTGCAGAGGAGATGTTAGGATGTAGAGATCACGTTAAGTCTGCTCAGGCGATTCACATCTTCTAGACAAAAACTCACTCTTTTTATACTTCAAATGGGTGTTGGTTCGCTCACTCAAAATAATGTTATTAGCTGCTATGATCATTGTTTGGGAGTATTATTGCTGTCTGATTTCACGGAAATAAAACTTTAACACACCTATGTCATCAAAGCTAAATGCATTTATTGTTGGCTTCCTTTAGCTTAACTCCTTAAGGATGGCAGGCGTTCTATGACTTCCATTTTAGGTGGTCCAAAACGGCGGTCGCGATCCTGGGTTCTGCCTGGGAGCTCAGAAACACCTCCTCTGCTTGATCCGGCCCACCTGGCCATACGGTCTTTGCGATCACATAGCCGGAATAGCCGGCCTATGCACTGACTGCAGGGGGCCTGCCTGCGCTCTCAGGCAGTCCCCCTAATTGCTGAAAAAAAGTTTATAAAGTTATTAAAAGTTAATAAAAAGTTTAACAAAGTAAGTAAAAGTACTCGTATCATATATATTGTGACAAACTTACTTTCCTGTGTGTGTTTGTCCAGGATCTTTTGGCAACCGCACAGCCCTCTAGGGTAAGAAAACCAGGTCAAGACAAAGTCCAGTTTCAAAAGGGCCTCTGGCCTGTTTATTTTCTGTTGTTGTGAAGTAACAGGATACAATGAACAGCAAATCTTCTTTCTCCACAAAACACTTTCTTTCTCCTCCAAAACACTTCCCTCACTTCACCCTGCTTTAACTGCAGTTATATAGCTGCTCACAGCCCCTACAGGTGAGGCTAATGACCTCGTTAGGCAGTGAGCCAGAGCTCTATGGGAAACCTGGGCTGGACTCATGCACAACCACTCTGACAGTGGGTGGAGAATCGGCCCACCCTGCTCTTCCGAATACTCCACCCCAGGGACCCAAATAACAACAGAGGAAAAAAAACTACATTTAAACTTAACTTTCCCTGGGGCTGCATGTGCTTACCCACATGTCAGGATAGTGGCTGTGCAAAAGTCTGGGTGCCAGATATACACCCCTGACCACCATCCCCAACACTCTGTTACATATCCTCCCCCCCAGCTCAGACCTAGTGGGGTGAGCGACCACAGAAAACAAATTCTCGCGACAAACTGTCAGCATTTCCATGTTTAGACCCTGGCCTATGTTCAACCGTAAAATGAAATGGTTGTAAGCTGAGGAACCACCTTGTCACCCTGGCATTATTATCTTTGTTTTGACTCATCCAGGTTAAGGGGGCATGGTCTGTGACCAACCTAAATTTTCTACCCAGCAGATAATATTTCAATGAGTCTAAGGCCCATTTTATGGCAAGGCATTCCTTTTCCACTATAGAATAATTTTTCTCAGCGGGAGTCAGCTTCCTACTTAAATAAAACACTGGGTGTTCTTCACCCTGAATTTCCTGAGACAGAACTGCCCCTAACCCAAGCTCTGATGCATCGGTTTGGACAATAAACTCTTTAGTGAAATCCGGGGTTACCAGAACCGGTTGGGTGCACAAAGCCTCTTTCAAAGTTACAAACGATTTTTCTGCCTCTACTGACCACTTAACCACTAGTGGGGCTTTACCTTTTGTGAGATCCGTTAAAGGAGCTGCTAATGTAGCAAAACCAGGAATAAATCGCCTGTAATACCCAATAAGTCCCAAGAAAGTCCTAACTTGCTTTTTAGTGAGGGGGCGTGGCCAATTTTGTATGGCCTCCACTTTTGCTGTTTGGGGCTTAACTAGTCCTCTCCCAATCGAATAACCCAGATATTTTGCCTCTTCCAAACCTATAGTACACTTAGATGGGTTAGCAGTTAAACCAGCTAAGCGGATAGAGTCCAGTACTGCCTGCACTTTGGGAAGATGTGAAGCCCAGTCAGGACTGTGAATGACTATGTCATCTAAGTATGCGGCCGCATAACGGCTGTGAGGCTTCAAAATCCTATCAATCAGTCTCTGAAAAGTGGCAGGGGCCCCATGTAACCCGAATGGTAGCACCTTGTATTGGAATAATCCCCCTGATGTAGAAAAAGCTGTCTTTTCTTTTGCTCTGTCTGTAAGAGGTACTTGCCAATAACCCTTCGTCAGGTCTAAAGTAGTCAGGTACCGAGCCTTACCCAGTCTCTCTATCAGTTCATCGACCCTAGGCATTGGATAAGCATCAAACTTTGACACACTATTTAATTTACGAAAATCATTACAAAATCTTATCGAGCCATCAGGTTTTGGCACCAGTACTATAGGGCTGTTCCACTCGCTTTGGGATTCCTCAATAATATCAAGATCTAACATTTTCTTAATTTCAGCAGTTACAGCCTCTTTCTGTGCTTCTGGGATTCTGTATGGTTTAAGGCTTATCTTCACCCCTGGTTCTGTAACAATATCATGCTTGATAACGTTAGTCCTGCCCGGAACTACAGAAAATACATCCCGGTTTCTACCAATGAAGTCCCTTACTTCCTGTTTCTGGTGGGGGGACAGGGTGTCTGGTATATTTACTTCAAGTTCACTACTAGTCTTATCAGTGACAACTGAAGTAGTTAAGACCTCTCTGTCCTTCCAGGGTTTTAGTAAATTAATATGATATATTTGCTCAGGTTTCCTCCTATCGGGTTGTCTCACTTTATAATTAACTTCTCCAACCTGTTCAATAACCTCATATGGGCCATGCCAAGATGCTAGAAATTTATTTTCTACTGTAGGGACCAAAACAAGTACCCTGTCTCCTGGGTGAAAAACTCTCAGTCTGGCATTTTTATTATAACTGTTTTTCTGGGCATCTTGGGCTTTCTGCATATGTTCTTTAACTATTGGCATGACAGCCGCCATCCTATCTTGCATTTGAGCTATGTGCTCAATTACACTACGGTACGGATTGGATTCCTGTTCCCAGGTTTCTTTTGCTATATCTAGTAGACCTCTGGGATGATGGCATATAGAAGCTCAAAAGGAGAGAAGCCCGTAGAAGCTTGTGGCACCTCCCTTATGGAGAACATTAGATAGGGTAGTAAGCAGTCCCAATTCTTACCATCTTTGTCAATTACTTTTCTTAACATACTTTTTAAGGTCTTGTTAAACCGTTCTACCAGTCCGTCTGTCTGGGGATGATAAACAGAAGTCCTAAGATGTTTAATTTGAAGTAGTTTGCATAACTCCTTTGTAACTTTAGACATAAATGGTGTACCCTGATCTGTCAAAATTTCTTTTGGTATGCCCACCCGGCTAAACATGAGCATGAGTTCTCTCGCTATTGTCTTTGCAGAGGTGTTACGTAGGGGTATTGCTTCTGGGTACTTGGTAGCATAATCCAGAATCACCAATATATACTGATGCCCCCTTGCAGACTTTACCAGAGGACCCACCAAGTCCATTGCAATCCTCTCAAAAGGTATTTCTATTATAGGCAATGGTACCAGAGGACTGCGATATGCCTTAAAAGGGGCGGTGTGTTGGCATTCAGGACAAGAAGAACAATAATTTGCAACTGAAGCGAACACCCCAGGCCAGTAAAACCTCTGTAAGACTCTTTCTCTTGTTTTTTCTATGCCTAAATGTCCCCCCAGGATATGGCTGTGTGCAAGATTTAGGACTGTATGTCTGAAGGGCTTAGGAACAAGTAGTTGTTTTACAACATCCATCCCCTTTTTCTCTACTCTATAGATCAAATCATTCTGTACCTCAAAATAAGGAAAAGAAGGGGCTCTATCTAGTTGTACTGGATCATCAGTTGAAACCTGGATATTTTTTCGGGCCTCTGCAAGAGTGGGGTCTTCCCACTGCGCTTTCCTGAAGTTAACAGGACTGACTTCTAATTCAGGGAAGTTAATGCCTTGATCCTGATCGTTATCGGTCTCCTGACTATCGTGGCCCTGGTCATCTCCTACTAAAGCTGGCCTGTGACTTGAGGCTTCAGCCTTCCCTGGTCTTATGCCTAGTCCTTCCCATTCTATGTCAGAAAAAGGGAACACATTTCTAGAATCATTTGCTATACAATCATGAACTATTTTTCCTGTAGACCCCCACAAGTCTAAAAATTGGGGAAAATCTCTTCCCAATACCACATCATAAGCCAATTTATCCACTACACCCACTCTATGATTAACACTACCGAAAAGGCTTTCAAACTTTAGCAAAGCTGTAGGATATTCACGTTTGTCACCATGAACACAAATTATACCAATTTTCTGAAATGCATCAACATCGGCTTCAGGTACAAGGCATTTTGTTATCAATGTCACCATACTTCCGGAGTCTAATAGAGCTCTAACCTCTTTCCCATTCACCCTTATGGAACATATCTGTGGATTGTGACTACAGTTGGCAACAGCAGATTCCATACAATTCAGCAAACAAGACAATTGTACATCCTGATTAATCATATTGCATTGCATCGGTTCATCAATCAAGGGACAGTCTCTAGCTTTATGTCCAGGTTCATTACACCGGAAACATTTCATATTATTAACTGTCCCCCACCTAAACCCTTTTCCAGGATTAACATTTCTAGGCATAAGCGTATGGGGTCCCTGAGAATATGTCTCTTGTTCCTCTGTGTCTCTGAAATCTTGAAAAATCTTACCAGGTCTTTCAGGAGCTGGAGTCTTAACTCTCTGCTTAGCCTTTGTGTTGTTGAGCCACTGTCTGTCATCTGCAGCCACATATCTTTCCACCAAACCAATTAACTCATCAGCTGTTTGTGGATCACTCTGACTGACCCATCGACGCAGTGAAGCAGGCAAGCCCCGCAGGAATCTGTCCATCACAAGAAGTTCCATGATATGGCTTGCCGTATTTATTTCTGGTTGTAACCACTTCCTAGCCAGATGTATCAGGTCAAACATCTGGGAGCGGATAGGCTTCTCTTGGTTGAAAGTCCAGGCATGAAATCTTTGGGCACGAACTGCCATAGTCACACCAAGTCGTGCAAGGATCTCAGCCTTCAATTTGGAGTAGACCCCTGCCTG